TGAAGCCAGACTGGTTGGTGTCGAGGAGGTTGTTCTGTGTGAGAAAGGCAGAGTCTTGGTTGAACACAGCTCGTTCAAGTGTTTTTGCAATGAAAGGAAGAAGGGAAACCGGTCTGTAGGTTTATACTCTTTATTTTATTAGGTTTATACTCTTTATTTTATTTTTTACTTGGAATTGTATATAATATAATAATAAAACATCACAATATAATAGGCCCATATGATTTACTGTAATACTGTAAATAATTTTTTTTGTTAAAGTTTTAGAAATGTTGTTGCTTTTTTTGTAATTTAAGTTTTTTTTTCTTCAAATCCATATTTTATTATTTTTTATTTCAGTTTTAACTATTTTACTATTAATTTAACTAAATGAAAAAGAAAAATGTTTCCTTGTGATCTAACTGAAATTAAATAAGATTTTATATTATTTCTGTTAGCATTATTGTTGTCTCAATATATGGGGTAAGTTGTCACAACAGGGCATGAAGTTAAACTAAATGACAATGTGAAATGTTGCCTTGGCAACTAGCTGAAATAATAATAATAAAAAAAAAAATAATAATAATAACAATAACAATAATACTAATTATTATTATTATTAATGATTGAATAATAAATAAAGATTTTTTATATTTTTATTTTGTTTAAGTTAAAATGTATTTTATTTTAAATGACAAAGGTTTTTCTATGGTTTTAGTTTTAATGAACTATGATAACCCTGGTGTGATCTAATTAAAATGACTATTTTACCCAATATTTGTGCTGTGTATTTTGTGCTTATTAGAGTATCAGTAGCAATAACCTAACGACAAACTCCATTCATTGAGAGATTCTTGTGTGATTCAGATGGTGAGCACTGTTTGTATGAGTTGCTGCCTATGCAGCTCATTTAAATCATGTGGTCAGTATCATTGAGGTCTCTTCATTAGTGAATAAACCCACCGGCGCCGGCTTGTGAGGGTGAGAGGCAGAAGTTCACTGTGTTGTTCCTCTCGAGAGCATGCTGGAGGTTTGTGGGACTCTGATGCTCCGGTCCTGATGGATGAAACCACTCGGAGAGCACCGGAGAGTTGTTATCGTACGGAGAGATTTCTCCACTGGAGCTCTTCACGTCTCTGCAGGACCACAGATTCAGCACACCGTTAACAAAACTTCAACTGTTTATAATATAAGAATACAAATTATAATAAAATAGGCACTTATGACTTACTTTATTGCTGTGAAAATTAATAATATTATATTATATTATATTATATTATATTATATTATATTATATTATATTATATTATATTATATTATATTATATTATATTATATTATATTATATTATTTTCCAATATAATAAAGTATAATAATATAATAACAGAATAGAATAGAATATATAACATGTTTAATTCTGTTTTGTTCATGTTATAGTGTAGCCCTAATGCGTTTTTTTTCTTTTACTTGGAATCTTATATAATATAATATAATATAATATAATATAATATAATGCAGTCTGATGAATTATTACTGCACTATTATTGTCTACTGACGATGAATCAGTAGTTGTGCCAGGTCTTGTTGTTCACTTACTCACACTGTGGTGTTTTCCTCCTCAGCAGATAATGCACCACATCACTGTCTGTGTCCAGCAAACTCAACAGAAGCTCGTTCTGCAGCTCCGCTGAGATCTGCGGCACAAATCACATCAACACGTTCCTTCAAAACACAACTGAGTCCAGTCAAACCACTGATACACACACAGCTTTACTGCCAAAGAACAAGCACAAGGGCTTTAGCTTGGGTGGCTATTAAGCTCTTTACAAGGAATACGATCTTTTTACATTTAGAACGCGTTGAGAGACGCAGTCCAATGCACAGCCCACTCAAAATCACTACATTTTGACAAGACACTTACTTACAAGTGACTTTAAAGAGCTCATATCATGAGAAAACAAGCTTTCCCTCATCATCTGAGATAAAAATGCTTGATTTATGATGCAAATATACTGGAACTCAATCAAAACTTCTTCCACAGTGGAAAAACAAAAAAAACATTTATAGAAATTAAGCTGCAAAAACATCCCACCCTGGCCAGTGTTATTGTTAACTAAAAGTAAAACTATTATTTATTAAAAAAAATCTAAATATTAGATGAAAAACATGAAATAATGAATAATATGAAATTATTTAATTCAATATGATATTAAATATATAATTAAAATAATAAAAATAAATTAAGACTTAATTATGATTAGTAACATTGGGACCATATAGGAATTAAATAAATTGATAAATAAATAAATAAATAAATAAAAATGTCTTTCAAGGATACAATCTGTCTAAAAACAATTTCTAATAAAAAATGGTATAAATATGCAATATGTAAAATATGTAATATAAATATGTAAACATAAATATCTTATTATTTAACTAAATATGATATTAAATATATAATTAAAATGGTATCACTAAATTATGCCTTAATTATGATTAGTAACATTGGGACCACAGGGGGGAAAAAAGTTAAATAAATCATTCATTCATTCTCATGGTCAACAAAGAGAGTGTGAAAAATTAGAAGTATATTTAAAATATAAATATGAAATTATTTAATTAAATATGATATTAAATATAGGATTTAAATTATAAAACTAAATGTGACCCTGAACCACAAAACCAGTCATAAGGGTCAATTTTTTGAAATTGAGATTTATGCATCATCCGAAAGCTGAATGAATAAGCTTTCCATTGGTGTATGTTTTGTTAGGATCGGACAATATTTGGCTGAGATACAACTATTTGAAAATCTGGAATCTGAGGGTGCAAAAAAATCTAAATATTGAGAAAATCATCTTTAAAGTTGTCCAAATGAAGTTCATAGCAATGCATATTACTAATCAAAAATTAAGTTTTGATATATTTACAGTAGGAGATTTACAAAATATCTTCATGGAACATGATCTTTACTTAATATCCTAATGATTTTTGGCATAAAAGAAAAATCTATAATTTTGAGCCATACAATGTATTGTTGGCTATTGTTACAAATATACCCCAGCGACTTGAGACTGCTTTTGTGCTCCAGGCTCACAAATTAGGATTAAACTATGATTAATAACACTGGGACAATAAATAAACAAACATGTACAATATTCCCCCTTTGCAGAGTGTAGTCTGCCTAAAAACTGCATATGTTTCTATTCTGCAAGCATACCTGTCCTTCATTCAAACTTCAATGGTCCAAATCATCTCAGCAGCCCTGTTTTGGACATGCCAGAGGACTGAGCAGTATAAACTACATCTCAAACACTTTCATAAAACTGTCCTAACTAACAGCCATAGAAGTGGTGATTTATTTGTATTGTTGTGTTTTCTCTGTCTGAGCGTCCTCATATCTCACTCATGATGTACCGTGAACAGGGACTGGTGCGTGTCGATCATGTGCTGCACCACGCTGATGATAGCGGCGCTGTCCTCCATCCGCGCCGAGCTCTCCACGCTGAACTCCTTCTCTGAGCTCTTCTGCTTGTGCAGCAGGTTCGGCCCGAATATAGTGGCCAGGTTCAGAGACGTCATCTTATTACCAATCACCTACAAATAACACAAACGCAGCCATCGTTTCTCACTGCATTGAGCTCAGTGAACTTTTGGGTTTGTGATCATCCTGAAAAAGCAACGCGTGACCTCCAAAACCTACCGTGTAGAGACTTTTATTGTGCTCGCAAGTGTTTTTGTCCTTTCTGAAGTTTGACAGAAGCATGATGTTTTATGGAAAAGGGCTGCATCAAAAATGGTCATGGAAGGAAAAAAGGATTCATTTTTCATTTAATTAAAATTTACTAATCAAAAAGGTTGTCTACTTAACTGAAATCATGAAACTTACAGAACTTAACAACTTTTTTTTTTTTTTTTACAAAATTGTATTTTGTTAGCCCCACCCCCTTTTTTCCCCAAATTCATTTTTCTGGATTCTTTTTAATAGTTAAATTCAATTTTACTAATCAAAAATCATGTCTAATTTTATTGAAATCATGAAACGTACACAATCTAACATCAGTTTATTTATTTATTTTTAAATGTAACAAAAAAAATTAGGGCATTTTTAGGGCCCTATAAAGTCGTTTAAAAAAAAAACAAATTCCGTTTATTTACATTGAATTTTTTTAATTCCATTTTAATAGTTAAATTAAATTTTACTAACCAAAAATCATGGCTAATTAATTGAAATTGTGAAACTTACACAATTTAACAACCATTTTTATTACATTTTTAGGGCCCTATGAAATCTGTTTTATTTTACACAAATTCTATGTTTTCCTTTATAATTTTTTATATATTCTGATTTTAGTTACATCAATTTTAGTATTTAAAAACATGCATTATTAATTAAAATCATGAAACTTACATAATTTAACAAGTTATCAAATTTTTTACAAAAATTGATTTTTTAGGGCCCTATGAAATCCAAACTAAATTTAACAAATTCTGTGTTTTCTGTTTTAATTTGTCTGATTCTGGGTTAATAAATTAATCAAATTTTTATAACCAAAAGCATGTCAAACCAAAACAATTTTAAATTCTAAGAATTTATTATTATTATTTATTTATAGTTTAATTTTAGTTTAATTGTATTATTTTATTTTTTAACAATCATAGGTCCCTGTGAAATGTTTTATTTTTTCAGAAAGTCTGTGCTGTCTGTTTAATTTTTTAATGTAATCAATTACTTTTTTTTTTTTGCTAAAACAAAAAGCTACACAACAATGATTTAATAATAAATTCCCATGGAAGAAATAAATAAAAACTGTAGTAATCAAAAAACATGTCTAACTAACAAATTTAAACTTTTTTTTATTATTATTTACTTATTTGTTATTTTTTTTACAATAATCGGTCTCAGTGAAATGTTTTATTTTTTTTTCAGAAAGTCTCTGTCTTTACAATTTACTACATATTTACTATCAAAAATGGTGGTAATCAAAGCAATACCAATTAAATTAATCTTTTAAAATGAAACATTAACAATTCCTTTTATTTTTTTGGCAAACAAAGAGCTGCACAACAGAGGTTTACTGTTGAAAGGAAACTCTCCTGGAAGAAAGAAAGTCATGCAAGGTTGAAAACAGGAGTAAATAATAAAATTTTTCTTCAGGCCGACCACAAACCCCAGAGTTCATTGAGCTCACACACTCACACACTCACTCACTCACTCACACACACTCACTCGCTCACTCACTCACACACACTCACTCGCTCACTCACTCACACACACTCACTCGCTCACTCACTCACACACACTCACTCGCTCACTCACTCACACACACTCACTCGCTCACTCACTCACACACACTCACTCGCTCACTCACTCACACACACTCACTCGCTCACTCACTCACACACACTCACTCGCTCACTCACTCACACACACTCACTCGCTCACTCACTCACACACACTCACTCGCTCACTCACTCACACACACTCACTCGCTCACTCACTCACACACACTCACTCGCTCACTCACTCACACACACTCACTCGCTCACTCACTCACACACACTCACTCGCTCACTCACTCACACACACTCACTCGCTCACTCACTCACACACACTCACTCGCTCACTCACTCACACACACTCACTCGCTCACTCACTCACACACACTCACTCGCTCACTCACTCACACACACTCACTCGCTCACTCACTCACACACACTCACTCGCTCACTCACTCACACACACTCACTCGCTCACTCACTCACACACACTCACTCGCTCACTCACTCACACACACTCACTCGCTCACTCACTCACACACACTCACTCGCTCACTCACTCACACACACTCACTCGCTCACTCACTCACACACACTCACTCGCTCACTCACTCACACACACTCACTCGCTCACTCACTCACACACACTCACTCGCTCACTCACTCACACACACTCACTCGCTCACTCACTCACACACACTCACTCGCTCACTCACTCACACACACTCACTCGCTCACTCACTCACACACACTCACTCGCTCACTCACTCACACACACTCACTCGCTCACTCACTCACACACACTCACTCGCTCACTCACTCACACACACTCACTCGCTCACTCACTCACACACACTCACTCGCTCACTCACTCACACACACTCACTCGCTCACTCACTCACACACACTCACTCGCTCACTCACTCACACACACTCACTCGCTCACTCACTCACACACACTCACTCGCTCACTCACTCACACACACTCACTCGCTCACTCACTCACACACACTCACTCGCTCACTCACTCACACACACTCACTCGCTCACTCACTCACACACACTCACTCGCTCACTCACTCACACACACTCACTCGCTCACTCACTCACACACACTCACTCGCTCACTCACTCACACACACTCACTCGCTCACTCACTCACACACACTCACTCGCTCACTCACTCACACACACTCACTCGCTCACTCACTCACACACACTCACTCGCTCACTCACTCACACACACTCACTCGCTCACTCACTCACACACACTCACTCGCTCACTCACTCACACACACTCACTCGCTCACTCACTCACACACACTCACTCGCTCACTCACTCACACACACTCACTCGCTCACTCACTCACACACACTCACTCGCTCACTCACTCACACACACTCACTCGCTCACTCACTCACACACACTCACTCGCTCACTCACTCACACACACTCACTCGCTCACTCACTCACACACACTCACTCGCTCACTCACTCACACACACTCACTCGCTCACTCACTCACACACACTCACTCGCTCACTCACTCACACACACTCACTCGCTCACTCACTCACACACACTCACTCGCTCACTCACTCACACACACTCACTCGCTCACTCACTCACACACACTCACTCGCTCACTCACTCACACACACTCACTCGCTCACTCACTCACACACACTCACTCGCTCACTCACTCACACACACTCACTCGCTCACTCACTCACACACACTCACTCGCTCACTCACTCACACACACTCACTCGCTCACTCACTCACACACACTCACTCGCTCACTCACTCACACACACTCACTCGCTCACTCACTCACACACACTCACTCGCTCACTCACTCACACACACTCACTCGCTCACTCACTCACACACACTCACTCGCTCACTCACTCACACACACTCACTCGCTCACTCACTCACACACACTCACTCGCTCACTCACTCACACACACTCACTCGCTCACTCACTCACACACACTCACTCGCTCACTCACTCACACACACTCACTCGCTCACTCACTCACACACACTCACTCGCTCACTCACTCACACACACTCACTCGCTCACTCACTCACACACACTCACTCGCTCACTCACTCACACACACTCACACTCTCACACACTCACACACACACACACACACACACCAGCTAAAAGATGATACCTCAGTGTTTATTTAGCCGTCTGATAATATTTGACATTATCTTAGCATTTATGTATCTGCTTAAAAGGGTGATTCTTCCCAACAGAGGAAAATCATTTCAACCAAACAATCAGGAATATGTTTTATGTACATTTTTTAATAAAAAAATCAACATGTTTTATGTACATTTTACTAAAAAAACAAAATTATGCATGAAAGAGTTTAAAAATGTTGTACATTGTAAAAAATTATTTTTCAAATGATATGGAGTGTTTTACAAAAAAATTCAATTTCAGTTTCTCTATCTCAAAATTTTATGTTTAATTAAATGTTAATTGCCGCTTCTTTGTCATTGTATTTTATGTATCCTGCATTTGATGTATATTTTAAATACATTTTTAAATAATTTTAATCATTAATCAAATTCAGTGTTTTCTACTTTCGCATGTCAAACAAAATCAACTTTAAATTTATTTTAAACTTCGTAAACTTTTTATTTATTCATTCATTTAATAAATTTTTTTTTTTTTACAATTATAGGTCCCTGTGAAATTTTAATTTTTTCATAAAGTCTGTTTCGATTTTTCTGGATTTATGATTTAATACATATTTACAATCAAAAACAGTGGTAATTAAATGAAGGCATATAACATTACCAATTTAATTAATGTTTTAAAAATGCAATCAAATAAAAATGTAACAATTCCTTTTATTTTTTTGTCAAACAAACAGCTGAACAACAGAGGATTACTGTTAAAATTAAATTCCCCTTGCAGTTTCTCTGTTATAGTATATTATGTATCCTGTATTTTATGTACATTTATATATCCTTTAGCAAATTTTATTTTTAAATTTTATTTCTTATGCATGCTATTTTTTCTTATGCATCTGAGTTCTGAATAAAAATTGTTTCACTACCAAATTTTTTTCAGTGCAAGATTTACTTTTGAATCGATTTTCACTCTGAAATTGTTTAGTTTAGTTTAGCAGTTAATTTCACATATAATTACAAAGAAAGAGCAAGTAACACATTGATAAACATAATATTTTGAAGTAGAAAGACTGAAACCGTAAAACACACTCCAATAATCTTTTTTATTTATTTACTTAGAAAAATCAGTTTTTACAGTGAATAAGGGGTCGTTCACACAGAAAGTGTTTTTAAACTGGACTGCTTTTTCTATTGTTTTTCTATGTAAACATGCACTAGAAGGACATATTTGACTTATGCATTTGCATTTCATGTCTTTTTCATCATCTTACGCATGACACATTACGCAACTTTGAACAAAATGAGACTCTAAAAATGTGCAAACATTTATTTTGAGTGAACGGCCCCTAACTATGTTTTTTCTTGAAGTTTAATTGAGATATTCTATTAAATCATCTCAAAACTCTCATACGGAAGAATCATGACACTAGTCTAAATTAAATTTATACAAATAAATATAAATGAAACAAATAAAAAACATTCAAATTGCCACAATTGTGCTTAATTGTAAAAATCAACCACACAACTCACCTCGTTTCCATCAGCGTCCCGCGAATCCTCCGCGTGATTGGCTACGTCTGACAGGAAGTGAAGTAAACACTGAAGGGTGTCGCTGTTGCAGGCGGGAAGCAGACAGATGAGTAACTGTATGACTGTGTACTGATCCGCCTTGTCTAGAGCTGCACAAACACCACAGAGAAGATGAGTGGAATAAAGAAGAATAAAGTGTTGATTTATTAAAGGAATAGTTCATCCAGAAAAATTTAAACTCACCCTTAGATTACCCAAGATTAGGATGAGTTTGTTTCTTCATCAGATTTGTAGAAATGTAGCATTGCATCAGTGTCTCAGCAATGGATGCTCTGCAGTGAATGGGTGCCGTCAGAATGAGAGTCCAAACAGCTGATAAAAACATCACAATAATCCACAAGTAATCCACAGCACTCCAGTCCATCAGTTAATGTCTTGTGGAGCCAAAAGCTGAAAGAAATCTATCTTTAAGACATTTTTAACTTCAAACCATTGCTTCTGGCTAAAATACGAGTCCATAATCCATAATAACATAATAATGTTGTGTCTCACATCAAAATCCAGCCACATATTTGTTTAGAGGTGTTTTTGCTTGTAACCGGTGCTTGATCTGTGCAGATTTCTCTCCTGATTCAGATCAGAACACTTTTTCACTGGAGGAAGCGTTATTATGGATTATGGACTCAAATTTTAGCTGGAAGCAACGGTTTGAAGTTAAAAACATCTTAAAGATAGATTCATTTTTTACAAACACACAGCTTTTGTCTTCTCCAGATGTTAACTGATGGTCTGGAGTGCTGTGGATTACTTGTGGATTATTGTGATGTTTTTATCAGCTGTTTGGACTCTCATTCTGACGGCACCCATTCACTGCAGAGCATCCATTGCTGAGACACTGATGCAATGCTACATTTCTCCAAATCTGATGAAGAAACAAACTCATCCTAATCTTGGATGGCCTGAGAGTGAGCACATTTTCATTTTTGGCTGAACTATTCCTTTAAGAAAGATTGTCTCAGTGTTGTTTTGCTTACACGCGCAGCTGATAAACGCGGAGTACAGTTCTCTGGTCAGCAGAGGATCAGGCATGTCTCTCAGAAACTCTTTGAGCAGCGCCGCCACATCATGAACACTGTGCCGCTGGTCCAGAACAACATCGGCACCCTGATCGAACGCTTCACGCAGCTGAACGTCACAACAAACACACGTCAATGCTGTGAGAACTGACACTGGTCTTTAGAGGGTTCACATACTTCTTCCACCAATGAAGTTGCGCAACCTTTCCAGTTATTTGCGATTACTAATGCATTAAAAATCATTCAAATGAACCCAGATTCATTGAAAATAACCCCCTAGAAAGGTTTGTGTACACAACAGCATTATCTAGAGCAAAGTTTAGCAAACTAGGGTTTGTAAAGAAACTGCTGGGGGTTGAAAAAAAGCTAATAATGAATTAAATAAAGAAAATGTATAATTAAAATAAATAATTAAAAATGGAAACAAATTACAATACTTACTAAAAAAAAGATGAAATATTTTATTTCTTTACCTGGATGTCACAATACAAAATTTTGCCAAGTTTTATTATGTTATATATCAAGCACTATCTAACAAGAAAGAGTGACTGTATAATATTACTTAATAAATTTGACAGGTTTGTATTTTTTGTTTGTAAGTTCAAAAATAAGTCAGAGCAAAATTAAAAATAGATAAATAATAATAATAAAAAATCGAAATAAAAGATTAATTATTTAATTTGTTTGTGTTGTGTACTGTTTAGCTGTCATGTGACCATTAACTGGCGTCAGAGAACTGTGAATATGAAAATGTGTTGTTGAATTATGAAACTTATTAACTCAGAGGAACTTTAAATAAATATTTTAGGTCAAATAAAATAAAATAAAATAAAATAAAATAAAATAAAATAAAATAAAATAAAATAATAAAATAAAATAAAATAAAATAAAATAAAATAAAATAAAATAAAATAAAATAAAATAAAATAAAATAAAATAAAATAAAATAAAATAAAATAAAATAAAATAAAATAAAATAAAATAAAATAAAATAAAATAAAATAAAATAAAATGAAATAGTTTGGGTTAAAATAGTCTTTGAGTTTGGGAATTCCTGGTCTAGATGATGAAATATTTTATGATGAGAAAAATATACAAAATAAAATAAAATGCCTTTATTTTATTTACCTTTACTGAAATATAATAACTGAAATATTATTTGTTGTACAATTTAATTTAATTTAATTTAATTTTAAAAACATTTAGCTTTTTATGTATTCTGGTTTCCTTTGTCATCTAGTAACAAAAATGTAAGTGAAAATATATCGTGTCTAAAACATAAAACATTTGCTTCTCACCTGTCGAACTCTTTTCTTCGAGCTTCCGACCCGGAAAATGCCCACCGTCTGCAGACCTTCACAGCAGCAAAGCAAATAACCGGCACTGTTACGTCAACGTCTGTATGGAAACAGTCTTAAAACTGTGTTTAGACTACGCTCAAACTAGTCCGGCTATTATTGTGAACCCCCATGAAATGAAGACCCCATGAAATGAAAACTGAATTTTTTTTTTTTCTTCCTGTGTTGATGTTTTCTATTGAAACAGGAAGTTGGGGCGGGGCTTATCGAACCATAAAGACGACCTCACACCGACAGATGTGACCTCAGGGCCACAATTTTGATTTCAGGGGTTCCTTAAAGGAACACTCCACTATTTTTGAAAATAAGCTCTAGAGTCAACTCTAGGGGAGTTGGAAAATGAGCCTATTTTCAAAAATAGTGGAGTGTTCCTTTAAAAGACATTTGTATTTCGGTGGCACTGACCATACTTCTGCAGGTGTTGGCAGCAGCTGTCCAGCACACGCGGCACCTGTCTGTAGATGGGATTCAGGCTGAGCTTGGCGTCGCTCGTCTTCTTCTTCTTCTCGCTGTGTGACTCCACAGGCATGGAGAGCTGAAGAGCCTCCAGCAGACGAGAGTGACTGTCGTCCAGATCAGTGATGCAGTCCACAGACACACCGCCCTGCAGCGGTCAAACACACAAATATAGACACTTCTGTCAGCATTTTTGGCTGAGAAATACAGTTCGAACCCTATTAAAACCATTGCATTATTCAGTGTTGGGAAGGTTACTTTGGAAATGAAATAGGTTACAGATTACAAGTTACCCTATTTAAAATGTAATAAGTAGTGTAACTATTTTAATTGCTTTGTTAAAGTAATGTAACTGATTACATTTGATTACTTTTTGATTACTTTTCTAAATTTCTAACATTTTCAAACATGTAAAGCAGGCAGGGTTAACCACAGTAGTATTTAACACTGATTACTGTCACTTTCGAAATCCTTCATCACTTGAATTAAGATGATAATAATATAATTTTACTTTGAGATCATTCTGAGGTTAAATACTATGGTGGCCGAGAAGTGCAAAACAAATCACAATTCTGAAAACAAAATAACAAATTACAAACGCAAATGCAAGTCTAAAAAACAAAATAACAATTCAGAAAACATTATAACAAGTCAGAAAACACAATGACAAATTCGAAAACAAAATAACAAGTCAGAAAACACAACGACAAATCAGACAAACCGGAAGAGGTAGGTATAGTTTTATCAGAATTGTGATTTGTTTTGCACTTCTCCGCCACCGTAAAATACAGATTTAAAACCATAATAAGAAAACGTTTAGTAGCCATGATACTGTTTTTGAAATCAAATCTTTGCATAGCTATGACAGGAAACACTGGCTTCTAACAATGCCGTGGAAAAAACAGTTAATCTTAAAAAAATTAAGCACATACATAAACCAAAATAGGAAATAAAAGAGTTATCGAATATGCATGAGTCAAACTCCTGAAACATTGGTGTCTCATATTCTAGCGCAGTCAATGCAATTTATGAAAGAAATCAATTAAATCTGTATGTGAAAAAAAAATCTGATGCAACCCCCTTTGTAATCGTTAACATTTTCATAAGTAACTGTAATTTAATTACACATTTTTTCTCAGTAACTGCAACTGATTACAATTACATTTATTTTGCAATTAAAGTACATAATTTAGTTACATGTAACTAGTTACTCCCCAACACTGTCATTATTAATAGCATTACTTAATATCTCATAGCAAATACATTTTCAATATGCAATAAATCATCATCCCTGATTGTCATGAACAAACTACGGAAACATTTGCTTATGTTTTCTGTATTAGTTTCAACACAATTTGGTTCATGATGACAATTTGATTCCACAGATGTCCCCCCCC